CAAAGCAGATTGTCACATGCAGTTAAACTAAGAAAACTGTGGAAAACGAGCGATATTATTAAGAAAAGTATCTCACTGTACAAAACAAACTGTTTTCCTTATTATTATAAAGAGGAAACACAATCGGAAACAAGCTTAACTTACAGAGAAAAAGAAAAATGTGAATGTGATGCTCCCAAACTACCTCCCATTTTCGTGTACTGAAGATCATCCACCAACTACGAAAGAAGAAAGAAAATAAGGATTAATCAAACTGATTGCCCCCTTTGTTTTTTTTTGTTATTTTTCTATTTTTTTTTTGTCCTTTCTTTTTTTTTTTTTTGTTTGTTTTTTTTTTTTTTTCTTTTTTTTTTTTTTTTTTGGGAGCATCTGTAAATAAATAAAGGTAACCTTGGTGATGTTCAATTGTGCAATGTGCTATAGCATCACATTCCCAAACTAGTTTCAGGCCAGACAACGGGTCAGCTGCATTTATTAGAAAGACCTAGGAAATGGTTAGAATTATTATCCCCAATACAAAAAAGGATTTTTAAGTTTTCAGAGTTCCTAGCAAAAGATCTTTTACCTTTGATGATGTGGGAGACAATGTATTCACAGTCACGTATTGGAAGTCTTTTGTGTGCCTAATATTAATATGAACACTTTCATCTGACTCTTCCAAAAGCAAAATATCTTCATCAGTGGATCCAATCAGACTGTAGTAGATACTGCAACAACAAGCCGAGAGATGAAATGAAGGAAGATCACAAAAACTTCAACGTTTGCAATGATAAGGTAAAGTAAGGGATTCTTTTAAAGACGCAACTTAGAAGCAATTGCTAATAAATGTTTACACATTAAAGATTAACACAGGTTACTGAGATAAAACTTCAATTGTGATATAAATTTTATCCTTCTTTTAACTCTGCCAAGCCATCAAAGGATTGATAACAATTCACCCACCGGTAAGGCCTCATTTTCTGATCTGTCACAACATAAAGCAATGCATGTCCGTCTTTAGCCCACGCCAAGTTCGAAACTCTTTCTGCCTGAGGCTTACTGCACAATGAACCTGAATTCAAATTTCTCACGGATAATTTGAAGTAGTCGTTTTCTTTATCATACATAGTGTATGCAAGAAACTGATGATTAGGTGAAACTTCAGAGAGTTCCTCATAAGCATAACCTACAAAAGTCAGGTCAAACAAAATGTCAGCACTCCATAACACTAAAAACTAATATCAAAGGTAAGATGTGATTCATTTGACATTCCAAAGGCAAGTTTGCCAGACAACAATGAGTAAACACTAATTGTTCTCGTGTTCCATAATGAGTAAACACATCTGGGTAGTTACATAATGTTCTCGTGTTCGATACGACCAACAACAATGAGTAAACACTATTGTAATCCTTAAACTTGTGATACACTATCACGATAGTCACTACAATTAGAAAAATGTAAATAAATCCTAAAAATTGAATTTTTTAATGACATTAGTCCTATCATTGTGACATAAAAGATAGTAAGTTATAAAATTCGGGGACTACAATTAAAAGAAGATATACATTTCAGTTATTGAAATAAAGAGAATTTCAATTTCATGGATCAAATTGAAATTTCCAATCCCAGCTATGACACCTCACTAATTGAAGGGCTAGTGTAACAACAATTGTTAGGATATAGAGATACATTCTGACACCATCGTAAAATGTGGGTTTTAACTTAAAAAAGGTGAGAATTGTTCACCCTTGTACACCATTTTAGCGATATGACTGGTTCAATCAACTTAAGATCTGGAACAGTGACAGCATAATTTACCTCCAAACCTCTCGGCTTCCAGATTATAATCAACGAGCTTCTGCTCAATGGCTTTACCCGTAGTGAAATCGAACCCTGCGGGAGGATACTTATGCGAAATGAAATCATCGTTCAAGCTAGCCAATCTTCGGCAGAGGATGGGATAGGGTTTGGCCTCTTCGACGCGGCGGTAGTAGAGCCAGGGGCCCCAGCGAAGGGGAGGGGTGGAGAGGTCAAAGGGCATGCGAGAGGCCATTTCGAAGTGGAGCTTATTGAGGAGTTTCTCTGAGTCAGACATGACGGCCTCACTGTACTTCTCCTCTTGCTCCATGTACACGTCCATGTGACGCATCGCCACTTTGTCGCTCACCTTAGACATCCAGCTGTAAGGGTCTTCCCACGTTATGCCATTGAAACTGAACTTCTGCGGCTTCTTTGGGGCCTTGGGTGGACTCGGTGGCGGCGCCGCTTTGTAGTGGCGCCGAGCCACGTATGCCAGACGGAGCAGAGGGCGCATAGGTGGACTTGGGATTAGGATTTACCGCATCACATAACATAAACCCCTGCTTTGTTTTTCTAAGCGGCACCATTTTTCCCTTTCCCTTTATCCCAAACAATAATATAAAATTTAGATTAAACAGATATAATTTAATTACTCCTGAATTTTGCAATGCCAATTACGCATAAAAAATCTTTAGTGTAAAATTCCTAAATCAATCTCTTCTAATCATTTTGATTTGTTATGGTTCATGGTGTGATTCTTTTTTCGTGTGATCTTCCTTATTTATATTTATGTTATTTTCAATATAATATTTATATAAAAATTAAATTTGGTTTTAATTTGAAAAAGAATAAAATTAAAACAAAATTAAATAAAATTAACGAAAATTTAAAAAAATTAAATAAAAAATTAACAAAAATTATGGTTAAAGTGAATATAAAAAAATGAACATCTAAAACTAACATCTAACACTAACATTGTTGACTGGATATATAACATTAACAGTGCAGTAACATAATGCTACTTGAAAATGAGCAACTTTTTTTAAAAATAAAAAATATTTAAAGGAAATTAAAAATTAGGAACTAAAAAATGACCAATTGTTACATTTTTCATTAATGATTTAAGTGGGTAACAAAAAGATTAAATTGAAGAAAATTAAGACGTTATTAAACAAAAAAATAAAACCAAATTTAACAAAGTAAACGAAAATATATACCAAAGTTTTATTTAAACTTAAAGTAAAAAGCATCTTATACTCCTCAATTTTTTATAATTCATTCCATCACACGAATAATCAAAACTTCTGGAACTAAACCTTTGTTCATGATCTCAACCTGAAAAATTACTTTAAAATCATGCAAAAGATCTTTATAAATATATTATTGAGGTTTGTAGTGACCAAAAACAAAATAAAAACCAATATTTTAAAACTCTTTAAGGTCATATCCATGTTTTTTTTACCTTTTTGATGAGGACATGGATAAATGATTGAATCAAATGAATAAAAATAGGTCAACGTAAGGAGGTTGGATGGAGTGCAATGGTAAAGTAATATAGAAGAAGACACATAGATTAAGATAAGTAAGATGAAATAGAGGAATCGAAAGAAGATACTACTAAATCATCAAAAAATGCATGATTGAAAAAAAACCATCAAGAAAAGTGCAATCAAGTCAAAGTTGAAGTTAGATCGAGATAAACAAAAGTTTCATAATTAATTAAGAGTAATTCTTTCTGCACCTCCAAGTTTCCCATAATACCTTCTGCATTAAATGAAACTCAAAAAATTGTGTGCACATGTTGCACCCCACCACCCCTTTGCTCATTCATTCTACTTTTTCTTCTTTGCTTAACGTGTTGGTTTGTTGTTTGGAGAGTTGTAGTCCCTCGTGTTAGTGATCTCAGTATGTTGGTGTCGGCGTTTGATGTTAGAATAGTGGAACACCCTTAATCAGCAATCAAACTGTGGTTAAGGAGTGTCGGCGTTCGACTTCGAAGTACGACTAAAAGAGAGCTTTTTTTATTATGAGGGAGGCACACAGAGTGTAGGTTTTGGAGAGTGTAGGGTTTGCTTTTAATTTTTGAAAAAGAATGTCAGTAGTCCATTCTTTTGTTTTTTCAAATTTCTGAATAGGCATGCAAACAATCAGAAGGACAATATAGAAAAATTAGAGGTACAAATTGTTTCATTCACTAGTAGGAAAAAGTGCAATTTAACGCGCCATATACAGATCGGTAAGTAAAACTCGAAGCGTAAAAGACTATTATATACCTTCGGTTAATCTAGACCCGAGGCAGATGATGATATTGCCTCGGTAAAAGAAGAAAACGAAACTATTCTTATACGGTGATATTGCCTCGGTTAAATAAGACCCGAAGCCTATACTGCGCGTAAAAAGACCCTATGCCCGGGTTGAGAGAGGACCGTTGCACTATTCACGTTTTGATTTTTAATTTGCACATTATTACATTTGCAGAGATGTGCTTCTTTCTCGGGCTCTCTCTCTTACCCCTCCCTCCGCGCTCTCCCTATTCCCTCCGCGCTTCTCCCTGTTTCCCCTCCGCGCTACTCCTCTCTATCCTCCGCGACTCTTTCCCCTCTTCCCCTCCGCGCCTCCCTCTTCCCCTCCGCCCTCTCCCTTCCCCCGCCGCGATCTCCCTCTTCCCCTCCGCGCTCTAGCCTCCGCCGCTGCTGCTATCGCTACTGCCGCCGCTGCCTCCTCCAGATCTACCGCTCCAGATCGCCAAGCCTAAATCACCAAGCCGCTCCAGATCCGCTTCAGATCCGCTCCAGATCCTGCTCCACAACGTCACCGCCGGTGCCTTCCGCTGCGTCCACAACGTCACTGCCACTGCCGCCATCGTCGCGTGGTCTTCCTGCTGCCGCTGCCTCCCAGCTGGGTTCTTGCTGCACCGCCGTGGCGCGTTGTCTCTGTTGCCGCGTTGCTCCCACGCTCCCACGGTCCTGGTCATCGCGGCAGTGGTCATCGCAGCAGTGGTCCTGTGGCTTGGTAAGTGAAAATTTTTTGGATCTTGTCTTGGTGTTCTTTCTGGATCCAGAGAGATTGGAAACACCATTTTGGATCTGTCAATCTCGTTCTTGATCTTCTAACATGCATATTTTTGTTGTTCAATTTTTCAGTTATGGACTCTTGGACTTCAAAGGAGGGGGAACATAGATTCATCATCCAGCTTTGACTCTGTTCTGAATTGGGTTTTTTGGTCTCTTTTGCAGATGAAACATGTTACAAAAAAATGATGAGGGTTCTTTTAATCTTGTGTGAATTGTTTCAAAATGGTGGAAGAGTGTAGCAGGATAAAAAAAAAAAAAGCTTACGACATCGGTTATAATGAAACGAGACGTAATCGTATCCTTTACGCCGCGGTTCATAATCGAGGCATAAAATGTACACTTTTAACCTCGTCTGAATATGCACCGGTTGTAGAACCGGTGCCTATAAACAAAAGCAACCGGTGCCAATTTGTGTTACTGTACTAGTGATTTTTGTAACCTTTCTTCTATTTTATTTGTATGGCAAAAAAAAGAGAGAAATAATAAAAAGATAAATTCAAATGTAAAATGGTGATGACAAATTATGAATACAATTTTAAATATTATAAGAAAATTATGATCCAGAAGAAATAACAAATTTGGTGATTGTAACAATTTGAATCATCGCCACTTCATTGGTTTCTCTTATTTTACTCTTAATAATTTATTGCTACCATGCAAAACCTTTATCTCCATCCTCTTTTTCATTTACTCCAAATTTATTCTTTTTAAACTTTGGTCCACCGTTCCATCTATAAACACAAATAATATAAAAAATATAATTGTTAGAAAGAAATACATTATTTTTTTATTGAAATATATATTAAGAAAGAAATTAATGATTTGAATATATTTGTCACACCGTAACATCCCAAAAATACAATGTAAAACCATACAATAGAATAATCACATCTAATAATATTACAGTTCAGTCTTTTAAAAGAGATTCAGTACAAATACGGCCGAACAATATAATGGAAAGTCAAAACTGTGCATAAGCTATAACTAGGCTGAACGATTTACAAAAGAGTTATATCGAACGGTCGTACTAAAGAAAAGGAAAAGATGATCGAACGATCATCGTACAATTAAACTAAACTAAAATACTGACCGAACGGTTCTATTGTTCGGTCTTAACTTCTACTTCGACTAAATTTTCTTCTTCCAACGCTTCTTCTAGCAGCTCGTCTCCTTCTGCTCACATCCACATGGATGATCATTGCAACAGAAAGACAACCGAACGTACAAAATAGACAAGACAGAAAACATAGGGTAAGCTTATGTAATTTAATTCATGTATCAACATATATTTCACACAATCAACCAAACAAGATAAATCATTAACTCTTTCATGCAAAGCTTAATACTAGACTCTGACTGTCCGGACTGTATGAATTCTGTGTAGCTACGACGTTCGTGCACCCGGGTGATGTAGTAACTGGGATACCCTCAACAGCTGTCACCCGAGGTTAGTCCTATCTGTCCAAATTAACCATAAGGACTAGGACCTCCTGTCGTTCCCACATATGACTTACCCTTCTCTACGTGAGAACGAGTAATCACGGAACATCAGGATGAACCGCCAGCTTAGCATGCCCACATTCATACTTTACCAAATTCCAATATCCATTCATGCGATATTCCTCCCTGGAATACTCGTTCATAATCATACTCATTTCATCTACATCATATTCCATCATCTTTCATTTTCAAACTTCAATTTTAACGAAGATCCCTTAGGATACCAAATACCGATCGTAAAACTCCAACTCCTAACGAGACCGAACACTTGGACTGAGACCGAGAGGTTTCCAGTTCCAGAACAAATCAAAACCGAGAGAGAGTTATTATAGGGTTGGGAAGAGACCAATTAGAATAATATTTCTCAAGATTAAAAGAATCGAACATTATTTACAATGTGAATCAATTTAATGAACTGACTCATGAGCGTTTAGACTTAACACCTTAAAGCCTAGGCCAAGTACTAAGATTCTAGTCCTAAACCAATGGAGACGAACACTGCAAGACATTCAAAGGATAGTACTTAAAAGAATCATATGAAGAAATTGAACGCTATAAATACTTAGCTTATTTATGAGTTTATCATCAAGAAAACTGAATGTTAGTCGAAGACCGAGCACGGTAGAGTGTGGATTCTGTGGAGTTTGGACGAACGTTTTTATTATCAATATAGATTACGGAAAGTAGAATGAACGCTTGGTGTAAGACCTAGCACTTACTTATTACAAGTACTTGGTGTAAGACCGAGCACTACTTGGTACGAGCGCTTGGTGTAAGACCGAGCACTACTTAATACGAGCACTTTGTGTAAGACCAAACACTACTTAATTCATAAAAGAAAGATTTGATAAATATACGATATCAATTAAATAATGTTCAAGAACGAACGGACATACTAATACATATAGATATACTAAAATTTATATCATAATGCCAAGGAACGAATATCCTTGGTTGAACGCCTATACACAAATTTTACTAGACGAAGACGCTCGTTCCTCAACAGGAATTCCTTCCAAATAA